CGGTGTTCGTCACCGAGGTGCATCCGCTACGGTACGGGTCTGTGGCGCCAACACGGAAAGTTGATGGCGGCGCGCTCCCCGGACGGGGAGCGCGGCCGCAAGAAGAAACCCATGATGGCGCCGTCTTCGCTTTCTCCTCCCGTGGCTCATTGTCGCTCGTGTGTGGGCTTACCGAGAGAGAGAGAGACGCGCGAGAGAGAAGGGGAGAAACAAATGAGGCTAGGGTTCAGAGGGAGGGTGACATGGCGGGGTTTTGATCGAAGCGAAAGCAATGGGACGGGCCGTCGGATTTGATCCGACGGCGTGGAATGACCGGGCCACTCAATGCTGACCCAGGCGGGATGCCACTTTCCGCCCAGCCCAAAGTTGCGGCTTTGGCGCGGAGTCTGTAGCTTGTGGCATTCTTTGGGCGGACAAGCGATCGAGAGCCTTGGGCCAAGCGAGCCTCCGGGCCAAATGAACAAGGAGAGTTTTCGGTTTATCATTTTTTTTTTGAAGCTATTTTGAATGAATAAAGTTAAGTTTAAATGTTTTATCTCTACTCAAATTTGATCCAACGTGATAATTTGTTTAGAGAAGAGATGAGTAAAGTAAAAATGCTTTACGAAAAGTAGGAAAAGAAATTTTGTCAAGTTTCATTTGCAAAGTTGAAGGTTTATTGTCTTCTAATTTGAAGAGTAGTTATAGTTATTCATAAATGATGAAAAGTTTATCCTCTAGTTAAAATTAGAATCAATTTGGAAAATTTTAATTGGAGGAATAGTCGGTTGATAGTTAAGATAAATTATAATATTGTTATTTTCGACCAACGTTGATGATAACAATATTATAAGTTTATTTATGAGTTTAAGGTTAAAGTTGAATTATGATATTGTTATTTTCTGACCAACGTTGATGATAACAATATTATAATTCTATGAGTTTATGTTTAAAGTTTAAATCTCTGATGAATTTTGCATCAAAGTGACCAATTTTTCAGAGAAAAGATAAAGATCAAGGAATGCTCTTAAACTAGAGAAATGTATTTTCATATTTCCGCTGCAATGAAGTTGATTGTCTTCTAATTAAATTCGAACCAACGGGAGAATTTAATTTTGAGGAGCAGTTCTATGCTTTTAAGATTATTAAATTTCTATCGTTAATTCCATTTACGCCTAGCGGTGATGTGGAATTAATGTAGAAGAATGATGTTTTATTCTATTTTGCCTAACGGTGATATTGAATAGAACATAAAGTTTTCAAAGTTTAAAGAGCATTATTGTTGAATAATTTTCAGACAAAAAGACCTCCATGCTTTCATTCTTGAAGGTAGTAAGAGAAATGAGCTGGGTACTTGTGACTCAGATGATGAAATGCCCAAGGGCAAGCTATGTATGAAAGAATGCCATTGGTTAAGAGAGACTGTGTTCTCTTTAAAGAATGGCTTCAAAAGAAAAGAATTCTAGGATATTGATCCAAGAAAAGAGATAGATCAATGGGAGTCTTCATTGAGAAATGTCTTTTATGTACTCTCTGTGGAGAAGAATTTATTTTCAGTTTCACTTATGAGAGTTGTAAAAGTCATATACATGTTTAATTTGACTAACATTGGATTAAACATGTGTGTTAAAAAGAATATTGGATTTATTTCGAATTTGATGATTGAACACGAGCTAGTCCTGACAATTATGTCCGTTCAAAGGAATATCTCGCATGGCGGGAAAAAGTTTATGATAGTACCCACATGGCGGGAAAAGTTTGAGAAAATACCCGCATGACGGGGTAAAGTTGGCATAGTACATATGTTAACCAATCCGCATGAAGGGAGAGTTTGGCATAGTACTTATCCGCATGGCGGGAGAAGGATGTGATGACTCATGTGCTCTAAGTATATCTCGCACATGGAGAGAAGTTTGAGGTAGCTTTATGCCATCCTAGTATTGACCGTACACTCACGATTGTGTCATGGTCATTAAGTACTCAATGAGTTTAAGAACAAAAGAAAGTTGCATGTGAATCAAAAGATAAGAATGATATGCAAGCATGACTTGCGTGTAAGTATTGATAATAATAGACTATGTTGAGTTTTGAAGTGTAATGAGGAAAATGTACTCCCACACGAATTTTGTTTGCATGTTTGTAATCATGTGGATGAAGTAAGTAATCAAAGTTTCCTCATTCACAAGAGTTACGAATGTTTGAAATTGTGGTAGAAAAGTTCATACCACATTTCGAGGGGAGAAATGTAAGATTAAGAAAGATACTTCCCCATACTTTGGATAAGCAATGCACACTATGCATTGAAGGTAAAAGTGATCTATAAAAGATGAATGTGATCGTTGAGGGAGTAAGACGGTCATAATTATGATACCCTAAAGTAAAGAAATAGCTAAATTCACGGACATTTCTGGGTTCCGATAGGAAGATAGCATAGTCACTAGTATTTTATCTTTGGACGACGCCATATGAGTTTTTAGTGATTAAACCCCAAAATAAGAAATTTGAAGATACACCATCTTTACTGAAGATGGAGTAATCTGGGGGAGCATGGTATGTAGATACCTAAAGCTTGAATAGAAGTGGGATTACATATCCACTACAGTGTTTAGAGCAACAAATTGCTTAATACATGTTGATGTTGTATGACATATACAACACCAGACGTTAGCTCTTAAAGAGGATGAATAAGTAAACAAGAATCTTGTGATACAAGAGGCTATAGAACAATTGCCTTTTGGCAATGAAGAGTAACAATAGCCCCATATGAAAGAAGTGCCACGAGGCCCTAGAAGGTCTCAAAGAATAAGAAAATCAGATATTTCTGGTGACTAAGAAGAAATTTCTAATGGAGCCAAAACAGTAGGCTATAATGGGTCTACAAGACAAAGATGACTCCAAAGGAAATATGAAAAGCTATAAAGCGCCACTTGTGGCGAAATGATTTACACAAAGAGAAGGAATATATTATAATAAGCTTGCAAGGATTCTTTTATAATCATAATGGTATTAGTGGCACATTACGATTTACAGTTACATCAGAAGAATGTAAAGACACATTCCTCAACGAGGATTTGTATGGAAACATTTACATGGCATAACTCAAAAGGTTTTGTCGTGGAAGGAAAAGAACGTAAAGGGATGTTGCCTAAAGAAATCCATTTATGGATTAAAGCAAGCTTCAAGGCAGTGGTTCTTGAAGTTTGACAGTACAATAAGAAAGTTTGGGTTTTAAAGAGAATGTAGAGGACAATTGTATTTATGCAAAGTTTAAACATGGGAAATTTATTTTCCTAATCCTGCATGTGGGTAGCACCTTACTCGCTAGTAGTGGTGTTAATCTCTTTGTTGGAGAAAAAAAGTTCTTGTCCTCAAGTTTCAATGAGAATGATCTTGGTAAAGCATCATTCGTTCCGTGAATTGGAACTTACCGAGATAAAAGGAAAAGGGGTATTAGAACTATCTCAAGTGTATACTTAGAGAAGATTCTAAAGAAATAAAGTATATATGTGAATAAACTGCTACTGTTCCTATAGTCAAGGGTAATAGTTTTGAAACTTTCAAAGTGTTTCAAGAATAAATGTGAGATCGATTAAAAAGGACGTCCTATATGCTTCAATTTGTTGGAAGCTTAATGAATGCTTATAAGCAAGAACTTATCCCGACATAGTTCATGTATCCAAGGATATTTTATGAAGTCCATCCAGATATAGATCCTTTGGAATGGAGATGAGAATGTTTTGCAATTGTGCAAAGATTTGTAGGCCTCATGGTGAGTAAGAAAGAATAAGTACTCTCAAATAGTTGTGGGTACAAATGTTAAATTTTGGCGAGATGTTTAGTGAAACCCACATAGTAGCTAACACTCGCAGTTGGAGTTTTATTGTGGAAAAGCTCCAGAGAAACAGTTGTGGTGTCATCAAGGATGCATACCCACAGTATAGCTTGATATGAGGCTTAAAGGACAAAGAAGTGGTTAAAAGAACTTACACCGGAATTGATAATGGTATGTAATAAACAATGACCATTTAAGTAGTTCGCTCCTATAACAACGGGTCAAGTGTCTTGCCAAACACATTGACATTAAAGTTGTACGTTGTGAAGGAGAAAGTCAGGAATCATTCTAAAAGTATTGAACATATAAGTAACAAGCAAGTGCTTGCGGATCCAGCGTACAAAGGCTTACCACCCGGTGTGATTGGAGAACACACAATCGACATGGGTTTATGGTATAGCCTATGATTTCCGGACAACAAAGGGCCCAAAGTTAAAGAATCTGCATTTGAGCAGAGATGTGTATTGTAGTCATTAAGTCTATCGGCAATTGACCGTGACGATGAAGCATGCTCTATGCACTAATTTGTGATGGAACAAATAAAAGTGAAAATGATTAAAGTCAAAGTTTAAAGTTAAAGTATGAGTTGAGATCAGGGGAGAATGTTGGTTTGATCTCCCAACCACAAAGGGCCCAATGGCCACTTGGGCCTTGACCTCGCGCCCGATCGGGGCGCCCGGTCCATCTATGGTGGCGGGCCCCGTCACATCTGCAAGATTAAATAGAGGTGGGGTCGACGGCTCTCAGACGAGGTTCGCTGAGCCGACGCCCACCTAGAAACCCTACTCCGATCTAACAGAGGGCGAGCCGGTGGACGGAAGCACCGCCGCCGCCGCATCAGACTGCGCCACCACGGTCTTCAACTGCGTCGCTCTCTTCACCGACCGTCGCTGCCTAGCGCAGAACTTCACCGATGAACCTGATGGCCGGATCCCCTACTCAATGGATGGTCAGTACCTAACCCTAGCTTTTCCTCTCCCTCTCTGTCTCTCTCTGTTCACACCATTACTACGAGAAACCCAATGAAACCCCACTGGATCCACTCCTAGATGGTCCCAAAGGATCTAACAGAATCTATGTACACCTGCAGGTTTTCGCAGCAGCAACAAGACAAGACAGACGACGATCTCAGCTGATGAACTTTGGTACGCCATGGCAATGGCATGGCAGCAACCGATGCGATTAGAAATCAAGTTGAGTTAACGTTAGTTACGCTTTTCAAGACTTTCTCGACCCTGGCGGGCTGCTTCGACTGCCAGAAGAGGAACCCCAGCACCACCCGCTGGAAGGCCTCCTTGAGCGGCTTCACGATGAACCTGGACAGCGGGCTTCCCTCCTCCTCCTCCTCCTCGGCCAGCGCGGCGGCCGGCTTGTTGGGGTCGCCGAACTGTCCGGCGGAGTTGAGCAGCACGACGCCTCGGACCAGGTCCGGCACCTCGGTCGCCGTGAACAGCGTCGTGAAGCCTCCCAAGCTGATATATATGATCGCAGTGTTGATCGAATGTTTCAGTCAGGCATGTACCGTCTGAATTTCTGAAACTGAAATGCCATGTATCAGTTGATTGTTGCGTACCTGTTGCCTACAAGGACGGCAGGCTCCTTGACGATCTCCCGGAGGAAGTCGGAGACCTGCTCCATCCAGATGGTGGCCTCGTAGTCCACCAGCGCCTTCTCGCTCCAGCCGAACCCCAGCAGGTCTATGGCGTACACCTTGTACTTCTTGGCCAGCTCAGGGATGTTGTACCTGGATTGATTTACAGTCACAGCACATCAGTATTCAGTACCATGCGCTGTCTATGTCTCTCTTGTCGCGCAGTGTCGCTGCTGGCAGCTCCAATGCTTTACATAGCATTCAGAATTTCAGATATCCAAACTTGTCTCGGTGCGTGCCCCGTAATAACCAACCTCCAGTGGAAAGCGGAAGCGCCGAAGCCGTGGATGAGCACGATGGGCTGCCCGGCGCCTTGCTCGACGTAGTGTATCCGGCGACCCCGCCACGTCCAGAAGTTGTACCCGTCCGCTTTGAACGGCAAAACCTCCAGCCCTGCACGCACGACAGGAGAAACGGAGTCTCTGACGACGCTGAGAGCAGACAGAATTTGAGAACCGCACAGCTCAGACTTGAGAGCGCCCTCCTGAGCAGATACCTTGAGCAGAGCCGTTGGCGGAGGCTGAAGAAGTTGCCATGGAGCAGGAGACGGCGAGCGCAATCCCGGCCTTGGTCACCAGCTCCCTCCTCTGCATCACCAAGAACCTGCCCCCTGCCAATGGCCGCGGCCACAAGGATCAGCCAACACAGTTGTTTACAGTGTGACGGACCTGCAGAGACGAGGGCGCCCACCGTTCAGGCCGACCTGCGGGGAACCCGCGCCGCGGCAGCGGCCGGAGCCGGCCGTCCGGAGCGCGGCCACGGATGCGACGGACATCGGTAGGCAGGGCTTCTGGAGAGCGGCGGAAACGCTGGAACAGAGGACGGGGCCAGGGGGACGGGAATGAAGGCTCGGTTTTTTTTGTGTGTGTATAGGTTTGGGTCGGGGGATCGTGTGGTGCACCGTGGCGCGGCGCTCGATCGGGTTGCCGTGGCCGCGCCTGGGCCAAAAGAGTTTGCGGGAGAGGCGACGCGCCAACGACAGGTGCGGCCGTGCGGGCGTGCGGCTCGGCCAAGGTTTATTTGCCTGGGCTTAGCTGATGAATCCGCGCTGCCGCGAAATATCTGCCGGTCGGTCTGCTGGCGCCTTGCGTGTGAGAGAGTAAAAGAACGGAAAGTGGGCTTGCTCGCCGGCTGCGGCTGGGCCACGCGTGGTTTGAGCCCGGTAGGTGAACGGAGCGGGCCCATTCAAATCTTGAGCCGCGCCAGCGCCACACACGTCAAACAAAAGACGGAAAATGTGAATAGCCCGCGATTTCGCGGAGCACGGACACGAAGAATACGAGAGACGAACAGGAATGGCAGAAATAAACTAGGGAGTATAGGTGATGATTTTTTCAGCAAGTTTCTTGAGACAAGCGACGCTCTGCTCTTCTCCACAGAATTTACAGTCTTTCGAGACCTTGAATATTTTCTTTGCTCCTACGCGATAAAAAAACAGCAACAAATCTACAGTAACTCCGGTAAAAACGACAGCGCGCGCTATTCGGTACTGCGCCACTACTGCACATGTGGGCTCGCTGCAAACACGCACGATTCAGCTCTGAAGAACAGTAACAACAGTACCGCTGCTACTGCTCCTCCTCTGGTCGTTGAGAATCTCTAGACGCCGGCCGAGCTCGTGAATGGCATCAGCCGGGGACCCGCTTGAAAAAGAGGGGACTCGGCGCGAACCGCGAAGCACTAGTTTATGCATCGCCACGCGCCCACGCATGGACCAGGGGGCCCTCTGAGCGCACGTATCTCCGGATGAGATGAGTGAGCTCCACCTCCACTTGTGAAACCAACTTCGCAGCAGGGTAGTTTAAAAAAAAAACCTTCGCAGCAGTACCGGTGTTTTTTTGGCCGGTCCAAGCACTGACAAATGGGTCCAGATGCATATTGGCCCACTTATCAGAGTCAGTGAAGGTGGAAAATAAACAGTAAAAAATCTCGAGGCTTATATAGATAAACTATATGAAAGACTCTGAGACCACTTTGTGACTTTGCGAGAAATAAGTGACCTTTTGCGTGGTGCTCATATGAAACAACTAGTACTAACAGTAAACAACAAGAGAGGCATCGATCAAAGTGTGAGTGAAGATTAAAACATGGCCTACTTGGCTGTCAGTGTCGGCCTAGTGGTCATCGTGGCGAGGGAACTTGAAAAAACTCTGAAATCAAACGCCAGGGGACTGTCTATGCAGCCCGAAGCCCCCTTTTTAGCCCGACACGAGCTGGTCTAACAGTAGTTCCAAACTTGACTAACAGTAGTTCTAACATGTAGGTTATGGAATTACGAAGCTAACGCGATTTGAATGGATCAATTCGGAACTAAAACGATAATTTTATAAGCAAAACAGTTCAAATAGCATTTCTGTAAATACTGAAAACGTATTTTAGACTTAAGCAGTGATCTTTACGCTTTTCAAAACGAGAATGCGTAATAAGGAAAATGCGCTTCGGGCTGCGGGTTCTATTCATCCGAAACCGAGGGTCTCTTTTGCAAATCTGCCACGCGAAGGGGTATCGGATGTTCTCGGTCGTTGGATTAGAAATGAGCGGCCAGGAATGGATCCGGGGGGAGAGAGAAAAAGGTGGCCGGCCGAAACAGTGACGCCGGCGGCAAACTCCATTGCCGGCGGCATGGAGGTCACCGGAGCGCGCGGCCAGAGGCCTACGGGCCACGGTTCGGAAATCCGGAGGCACCGGGAGAAAGCTGGGGACGAGGGGAACTCGCCCAGGCCATCACGACGACCGGAGGAGTGAGCCAAGGCGGCGGACGCCATGGCCGGCGGCCAAAGCTTGCGGGCGCATGCGGCCAGGGCGCTAGAAGCCATGAAAAACGAAATTAACGGTACCGGAAGGTAGAGGGAAGTCAGGGGGTTCTCACCGTGGGGAAAAACGAGGACGGGGAAGGCTCGGGGACGGCGGTCCGTGCGGAGGTGAGGACGGCGGCCGGCGGAGCTCCTCCGTGCGGCGGTTGTGGGGCTTCCGAGGCGTGAACACGAGAGAAAACGGCGCGGGGGAGCAGCAGGGGCGCGCGGGGGGGGCTCGGCTCCTATTTATCAAGGCCGAGGAGCCGGGGGGGACGCTCCCACGACCGGAGGCGTGGGCGGCGGTTGCCATGGCGCACGCGCGGGAGGAAGGGGACGGCGCCGACATGCGGGGCCCGGGCGTCAGCGGCTGGGGAAGGAGGCGCGGCGACGGTTGCTGGACGGCCGCGGAAAGCTGGGCCGGAGCGGGGCTGGGCCGGCGCAGCTGCTGGGCCGCGCAGCGCGCAAGGGGGAGGCCGAGCTGGGCTGCGGGGAGGAGATAGGCCAGCGGCCGGTTGGGCCAGCGGGAGGGAGCTGGGCCAGCAGAAGGAAAGGCCTGTGGGCCGAAAATCAAGAAGGGAGGGAGAGAAAATGATTCTTTTCTTTTTTTAACAATTTGCAAATCTATTTTTAAATTCAAATTTCAATTCTCTTTGAAATCTTTAATCAATTCCAAACATTCACAAAATAATATGCAGCAGCATGTATGCATCACTTGTAGCTAATCTTATATTTGATTTTAGTTTTATAAAATTATTATTTTCCTACATTTGTATGCACACATAATTGCGTAAATAAATCAATTTAGCTATTTTAAAAGAGTGCAAACTTTAGGGTGTTACAATTCTACCCCCCTTAAGATGAATCTCGTCCTCGAGATTCGGAAGACGTCGACAAAAGAGATGCAGATTCTCCGTCTTTGGATTCTTCTTTACTTTGCATACATGTTGATCTTACTCCAAGTAACTTGCCCAATTGATTTCAAGATTCTGATAGGTACCTTGAACAACCCTTGGGTAACTCCAATCACTAAGCCACCTTTCCTATAATACCAATTCTCTTCAAAATATCCACCTTCCGACGAAGTCCTGACGAATCTCTTGGTCAGAAGAAAATTCTTCTACCAATCTTCAAAACATTAATGTTTCTGGCTAAGTTGCTCGAATTGGGAATATAACTCTTAATCCTTGGTGTTGTTCGAATCTTCTTAGCAAAACTCTCTCATGCTAAGGACATCTACAACGACTTTTGCTTCTCCAGGTGATATCACTTTTACCGAACCGAAGAGTACCATTCTCATCCATCCTGAATCCTGGGACCTGTGGGTTACGGGCCCACCACGCTTCCGCTGCGCAATCCAGAACATACGACACTTCATCTTGCAAATTCTTCCACTTGGCTACCCCCCTTAAGAAAAGATAAACTAGGGGACACCAAGCATAGCTTGCACATTCTTATAGATGAGCTAACTAGTATCAAGGCATTCTGTCATCCAATTGATACCCTCGTGTAAGGGCAAGAACAAGAAATCTGAAGTTCCTCACGAGATGAAAAACAGCAGCGCAGTAAAATGGCTGTAACTCCCATTCTGTTAATCCAATGAAGTTGTAGCTTATACCGTTGGAAAGCTTATAAAATTATCCACAACTTCTTTATAGAACACTTTTCCAAATTCCGTAGATACTTTGGTCGAAAACGGTACACAATAGAAACTGTTTCCGGTTCCAAATAGCACAAATGCATCGCCTTGTGATTTTTGTATCTCCATAACCAAAATAGCTATCAAGCTGATTCTTGCGCTCAGAGAAAGATATTGGAGTCTACTATTGTCCAGAATTTTCTCATGATTTTTGGTTGTCCAAGAATAGAGATATAAGCCAAAGAGTGTAGACTGCTCCGAAAAGACAGGATAGGGAAAACAGAAGAAAACAAAAACCCGACTATTTATTTCATTAATTCTTATGTCTTAGGCCTATAACTAAATAAAATTATGAGAACACTCAACAAGATCATTGCAATCATTACAAAGATTCAAAACAATCATAAGCATAATGACAATTCAACAATCAATAGAGATGCACAACTCAATCTTTGACTCAACTTGCGATACTATCGACCTTATTATACTAGGGGTAACAATCCTAAGACTCTTCTTCAGATCACGCAAGAAGGTGATGAGGGATAGTTCTAAAATCATAACAAACCAAGAAGTGAAGATGAGAACAAAGTCTTTAAAATAAGCACCAAGGTAGAGACGAATAGCAAAGATAGAGATATAGTAGAGAAGAAAATATCAAGGTTCATAGAGCAAGGATTTTTGCAGCAACTTATAAACCTTAAAACGACCAGTTTCTACTAGGCTTGCGTCCTACAGTCAACACAGCTCTAATACCAATTTGTCACACCCAATTTTAAGGATAAAATTGAATGCACTAACTCATGTGTGCCCAGGGATCAATCACACACACAAACTGATAAATTATAAAAGAGTATCATCACAGTGTATCTTACATCACGATAATAACATAACTTAGTCTTATACATCACAGCAGAAAATGAAAGATAACTCTCTCTCGTGGAACACCATCACAGGGAAGGTCAACTGGTTGACCACAAACCTAATAATCCTCAGGAAACTTCTCATACACGTTATCATCTGTTACCCATCCAGGATTTTTATCCAAATAAAGAAAATAAACAAGTGTAAGTACTTCCCGTACTTAACAAGATAACATGGGGATTCATGAGGCTCAAAAAGATTGACACTGGTTTACTGCAGTTAGCACTTTTAGTAAGTCAATATTTTATTATCAAGTATTATCAAGTTATGCTTAAGCTCCCATTTAAACCCACTTAATCAGAAATCAGCATCATTTGGATCATATCATCATAAACCATCATAAATGAACAACAATGAGTAACCAATTATTCTATGAGTTTTCCGGGCCGCTCGTGACCGTGAGCACGGCTGTTATAACAGTTT